TGGTGGCAAGTAGTTATAAGTAATAAATATATGTCAACCCCTCTTATAACATCCACACAACTCACACCAAGAAAGGGACAGGGTGCTCCCACACTCCCTCCCCTGCCCTGACTCGGTGTAACACCAAGAAAGGAACAGGGGAGTTTGTGTGGGAGCTCAAAATCGCAATGACAAAGGTATCAGTTTTCTCAGGGATGTCCGGGAGTGCTTCAGACCGCCTCGATGGTCATCACCCAGACCCAGAAGCCGTCCTCCATGATCTGGTACCAGCAAATGATGAGGACGGTCTGGGTGCCCGCGATGTTCGCCATGTTCTCGAACTCGGGATCCTCAGGCCTCTGGAGCAGGACCACAGGCCACCAGCTACTCTCGGGCTCGGGGCTCTCGAAGACCATCTGCGGGTTCCTCAGGGCCGCGGTTTAGGGTTTAGGGTTTATGGTTTAGGGTTTAGAGGGTTTAGAGGGTTTAGAGGGTTTAGAGGGTTTAGAGGGTTTAGAGGGTATAGGGTTTTTAGAGGGGTTATAGAGAGGGTTTACAGGGTTTAAAAAGTTTAGGCCTTTGGAGCTCGGTGTGGAGCTTCAGGTGGTCCTTGGAGTACGAGGCATTTTTGTACTTGCCGGACTTCGGAGCATAACTCACCCAGGCAAGATGGTACTTGGCCACCTGGGCTCGTGTCCAAACCCCCTCTGTGGTCACTCTTCCTATACTATTCTATAAAAATTCTATAAACCTTATTGCTGAAGTGCATGCATCCTGTGCAGCTCATGCCAGATGTACATGTGACGTGGTTTTCCTCTTCTTGCTCTTTAGGCCCGAACAGCACAGCCTTGAGCATGCTTTTAACATCTTTTAACAGAACACATGTACCATAGTTGTAGGTGCCACGCCCAACGTAGCACTAACTTCTGTCTCTTGCTTGCGTGTAAAATCTCCGCCTCTGAGTGAGCCATGCAGGGTTCTGGGGAGTATGGGACAAGGGAATTAGCCACTCCACTTGTGTCTACCTCTCAACCTGCTGGTTCGCTCCAGCAGGTTATGAGCCCAACGCTTGGGCAGGGCTACGGCACCACAACACAGCAGTCATCCCCACCTCCCGGGAGGGATGGTTTGCAACATGCACCAGGTTCAACGCCAACACCTGCACATGGCCAAACAGGTCGAATGGGCTTTGAACCTATGGCTACGGGAGGGGCACTTGGAGGCATAGACCAGACTGGGGTTAGCGCAGACTCAGGGGGAATGCCACCGGTGTCGACCGCCACTGAAGGCGGTGATGAGGTACAGATGGTTGTGCCGATACCCGGCAATGTCACGCCGGGCGGGAGCCCAGGGCTAGAGGCTAGCACTGGCATGTTAGGTACCGCGAGTGGTGACGCAGAGCCAGGGGGTAGAGTAGTCGCTGGTGCTTCCACGGAGGGGTTTGTCACCCCACGGTCACAGCAGGGATTGCCAACCATAGCTGAGATGGTTGAGGGCTTCCCTGGTACAGGGCTCCAGCTTATGACGCGAGTTGGGGACTTTTTCCGTGTAGCGCGCACTGAGGTGGTGCAGGTACCCGCAGTGGCGCAAGGCACGCACGCCACACCACCACGAGCAATCACATCACAATCACGTGATAGTCCCAGCGGTGTTCCAAGGCAATTGGCTCTGGGAGAAGGGAGTTTGGGTTCGCAGAGTAGCTCGCCACCACAGTTGGGAGCGCATGGTACACCCACTTCCTTTGCACCGCCTCCTGGAAGGGATGGCTCCTTGTTGAGCGCGGACATGTTGCAGCGCATGCAAGCTTTAGAACAGAGGGCCCCCTTACTTTACGGTAGCCTGCCCGAAAAACCCCGGGATTCCACCTCTTCTGGCCCAGACCCCCATTCTCGAGCCGAAAACCCGGGTTTGGGCCAGATCAGGGCTTCGGGCTCTGGTTTCCAGTCAGTTGCTGCCGCTAGTGCCCCAATTCCCCAGGCTTCAGCTGCTCAGGCCAGCACGGCGCCAGTAGGAGCAGCCAGTGTGTCGCCGGGGGGAACCCAAGGCCCTCCCACATCAGGTAACACCGTACTTGATGCCGTATTGTTGGGAGTGGAGCAACTGCAAACTTTGCAAGCCCAGCACCTTAGCAGTAGCAGGAAGGAGGATGCCCCGGAAACGGTGAAAACGGGCATTACAACCTTTCCCAGACTAGCCCCACCCGATCCAGCTGGAGGCTCGTTGGACTTTCAGGATTGGTTGCAGCTCATTGCGGGCTTGATGAGTGACTTTTCGGATTCTTCTCAACTTTGGTGGTCAGGGGTAGTTCAGGTAAGCAAAGATGCGTACGATAAGTGGGTCGTCGCATCCCCCATCGAGCGCTTGACGCTTGAGCCTGACGAGAGGCCAGAGCTTACAGAAGGCAAGTGGGGGCGAGTGAATGCGCGTGCATGCGCAATGCTTTTGGATGCCCTGGACCCCACAGTGAAATCTTGATATCATTGCCCGTAAGGCGAATCAAGCTGCATCGCAAATCTTGTTTAGATTGTACACGACCTACCAGCCCGGGGGAATAGGGGAACGCAACCTGGTGTTGAGCAACTTGCAAAATCCCCATGTGGTGCAGGATGCAGCCTCAGGTGTGTCAGCATTGAGGGCGTGGGGACGCTGGTATCAAAGGTGCATAGACTTTGGTATGAGTTTGCCGGATCCAATGGTGTTGGTGGGAGGCCTAACCTCAATGACAAAGCCCGTCATCTCTAAGGAGCCGGAGGTTTCATGGCGAACCGAGATAGTGAAAAGTGCACTGCAGTTGCATGGTCGACCCTCGGAAGAGGCGGTCAAATCCTACCACAAACATTTGTTGGCCGAGTTTGAGACTTTGGCTGGAGCTCATGTTGCCAAAAAGGGTGGATCAGGTAACCTGGCATTGAAGGCAGCTGGTGTTGCTGGGGATAAGCCGGGAAAGGGGAGTGGAGGCAAAGGTGGAGGGAATGCCAACACATGCAAGTAACTGCAAGTATTTCCTTTCGCCGAAGGGGTGTAGGTTTGGGTCCAAGTGCAAAAGCCAACACTCCATGAACGAGTTGTCTAAGGCGGAACGGTTTAAGAAGTGCTTGAATTGTGGTTCCGAGGAGCATCGCGCTAAGGATTGCAAGGCCGGTAAGGCGGAACCCAAAGCACCGGATCAAAAACCGTCCGTACAGGCAGCTTCCACATCCTCGGGCCAACCCGTTGTCCAAGCCACGCCAGTGCTCAACATGGAAACCTTCATGCAACAGGCAGTCCAGGCTTTGAGGCAGTTGGAGGCCAATCCACCGTGCAGCGGCACCACGCCGCAAGCCCAGCCGCCTCAACCTCAGCCGGAAGGCTTGAGTACTGCATCGCAGCAGCCCTCAGTGCCACCGGCACCGGGTGCGCCCGCATCGTCTGCACCCAATCCTTCGGTGAAGAGGCTGACGATTCGCTCAGTCGTGCCCGCAAGCTGTTTCCCGGTTTCGGGTCTCCCAAACCGGGACTCCCAACCCCCCGATCAGGAGGCTCCAACCCGGGCATTGGGAAATGCCAAAAATCAGAGTTTGGCAAACCCCCATTCTCGAGCCGAGAATGGGGGGTTGCTTGAGGCCCCCAAACCCATAGCATATGCGCTTTTGAACTCTGGGGCCACCCATGCCATGAGGCAGGCCATGGATGAGGAGGAGTGGGAGGCCGCATCGGAAGTACAGGTGAGCCTAGCCGGCGATACCACCACAACAATGCGGCTCACATCCTCAGGTACTTTGCTCCTGCCTCCCGGGAGGGATGGCCTAGTGCAGCCAATAGTCCCAATGGGCGCAATCATCGAGCAACTTGGGTATAAACTGGTTTGGTCAGCCGGTAGTTGCAAGCTGTATCCTCCCGATGGTAAGTCGTTGAGGCTTAGGGTCAAAAATGGTTGCCCGGAATTGGTAGAGAGCCAGGCCCTTACGCTGATATCACGGTTGGAGGAACACAAAATGCAACAGCTTGAGGAGCTCAGGCGAAGAACGGATGAGGGGAAGGATCGCATCAGACAGGCGAAAATCGCGATGCAGCGCACATGGTGGGATCATTTGGTGGAGCATGTTAGCTCGTCAGCGCCAGCAGCGGGCCACATGGCAGTATCCACGGCACCATTCTTTCAGGATGTGCCCGATCGTGCATTGTCAGGCCTACTCCCATCGGAAGATGTGGACTCCAAGACTTTGTGGAAAGCTCTTGAAGAAGGTATGCCAAACCTCAACCGGCGAAGGAGGAAGGCACTTCATCGAGCATCCAATTGGGTTGTTCACTTGTTTGCGGGCCCTGGCTCGCACAAGGCTTTCAAACGATTGGAGTCGCAGGATACAGTTGTTGTTGAGCTTGACATTTGCCGCTCAAGGAGCCAAGATCTTTACCATGATCCGCTTTGGACGCTTCTTGCTAAGGTTGCAAAGTTGGGACGAGTTGCGGCGGTCATTGGAGGTCCACCAACCCGCACGTGGTCCATGTCAGGGCACCGCGCCGATGGACCACATCCACTCCGCTCGCCCACTGAACCGTTTGGCCTGAGCACTCTCACCTCTGACGAGCGTGATCTCGTTGATCGTGATACGGGTTTGTATGCTCGCATGTTGTGGTTGCATGCACTTTCCACCGCCGGGAGGCGTGTGCACCCTAACCCGTCGGATGGAACATCCATGGTGGCATTCATGTTGGAGCAACCGTCGGTTGAACACCACATGGCTTCAAGCCATTCTGCTGTGGGTAGCGCCCCGTCGTTTTGGAATACCGCGCTGTGGCAAACTTACGCTGAAGAGGCTGGTTTGTTTGAGGTGCATTTCCGTCAAGGTCCGTTGGGGCACGCGGGCGATAAACCCACAACTGTTGGCACCAACTTGCCCGACCTTAGAGACTTGCAAGCGTTTCAGGGTGAGGTATCGCAGGTTTGTGGTAGCGCCGACAGCCGTGTGTCTCCAGTGTGGGCGCCGGGGTTTGTGCAAGCCATCGTGTACGCACTCCAACGTTGGCCCTGTTACCGCATCATGAAATTCACCCAAGCGGATTGGGAACAGCATGTTGCGAACAATCACGTGCCGTACCGCCGTGATTGTGCAGTTTGCGTGCACGGTGCCGGAAACGGCCGCCGCCACCACGGTGTAGTTCACCCGGATGTGTATTGCATGTCAGCCGACATTGCGGGGCCCATCCGTGTGAAGGGCAAAGACCCAGAAAGCCGCAACCACCGACCAGCCACGTTCAAGTACTTCCTCGCTGTGTCGTACCGCTTCCCACGGCTCAAAGGAGTGAAGGAGGAGTCAGACCCCAGCCAAACCGAGGGGTTTGATGATGCAGCACTCCTCCCGGGAGGGACGGATGACCTTGCAGATGAGGCCTTTCCCGCAGCAGAAGGCCCCCCGCACGAGGATTACGAGGACTCCCTGTACGAGCCAAGTTTAGCGGAAGAAGAGGAGGAGGCGGAAGGTGAAGGAGTTGAAGGGCCGAGGGAGTTTGCAGCCAAAGTTGCCGAGGAGCATCCCTGGGAGTCAGCCAGGTGTGAACTCGAAACACCGCCTGACATGGCGAGGCTGGTGTTTGCAGTGCCACTTCACACAAACAAGGGTGATGATATCCTAAATGCCCTCCAACAGGTGTACATTTCCTTAAGGTCCCTAAACCTCCCCGTGCTTCGTTTCCACACGACCGCAGTCGTGAGTTCTTCAACAAAAGGACTCGAGCTTGGTTTCACGAGCGTGGAGTCCGCACAACAACAACAGAAGGAGACGTTCCGCAGCAGAACGGCTCTGCTGAGAACACCGTGCGCTGGCTCAAAGCACGAGCACGAACCCTTCTCACCTCTGGCGAGGTCGACTCGTCCTTGTGGCCTTGTGCAATCATGACAGCTGCAGCTCAGCAACGGGCGCAGCAGCTGGGCATGAAGTCCAAGCTTGCCATCCATTTTGGAGGGAAGTGTTCCGTGAAGCACAAGTTTTTTAGCAAGAAGGGTGATTTGGAGGATAGATGGGTTGAAGGTAAGTATATGGGGTTGTCACCATCTGTGAATGATGGTCACATCGTGTTGCGCAGCGATGGTGTTGGCAACGGCTTTGTGCAAACACTCCATGTTCGCACCCGCCTTGTTTCTCCGGATCCACCGCCCTTGCAGTTTGTAGGAGACTCGCTTGAGGAGGAGCACACACCACCTCCACGCAGGGTTCGCGGCAAGCGGTCTGCTGGTGTGAGACTTGACGACGTCTTTGCACTTGACCCGCCGCCTCCCTTGCCGCCGCCAGCAGAAGCTCCACACCCGGAAGGGCCTGTGTCACCGGTTGAGGAGGAGTCTGCCCGTGTAGCGCGCTTGAGTCTGCAAGACCTCGAAGGTTTAGCTACGGAGCTTATCGAGGACGACTGGGACCTTGATGAAGCGTTGTGGGTGTTAGCCGAAGTGTGCAGAGCAGCGCCCCAGCTGCAACACAAAGCTGGGTTGTACCGTCACGGAGGTGTCGTAGGAGTTTTAGGGGGTACCACAGATAAGCCTTGGCTGACAGAGCTTATGAATATGGTGCTTTCCGCAGTTGCACCCACAGCTGAGTACACCTCGCTTTGGTTGTCTAATTCCACTGTTCAACCCGTGCACGCCGACCACCACAACCTGCAGGGATCCACAAATGTAGTCCTCCCTTTGAAGCTCCCGCCTAACGGAGGGGATTTGTGGATAGAACTCAAGCCTGGTGACCTAGTCAGTGGCCCTGTAGAGGAGCGGGTAGACGGCAAAGGTAGGCGCTGGTTAGGGACAACTCACAAGTTAGAGCGCGGTAAGCCCTTTTTCCTAGACCCTACTCGCCGCCACGCCACCACTCCCTGGAAGGGTGAGAGAGCAGTCCTTGTTGGCTACACTGTCAACACGTTAGGCAAAGAGCTTGAGCACGAGTTTCAAAGCCTTGAAGCTTTAGGTTTTCCACTCCCAGCGTCGGTACGTTTACCGCTGACTGAGCAGCAAGACGTGAGACGTCTAGACGCGTTTGACTGCTTCGAAGAAGAGCCCCTTCAGGAGACAAAGGCACGTCACCCTGACGGGAAGACTTCGGAGTTGGCGATTGGGACTGTGCTTAAAGGAGGAGGTTGGAAAGAAACCCAAGCCGTAGAAGCAGGTACTGTAGAGCTGGAGGTGTCGTGGAACCTGAAACACTCGCCGGACCAAAGGCGAACCCAGTCTGAGCACGCCCTGCTGGCTTGCCAACCAGACACCGAGACACAGGTTGAGGAGGAGGAGAGCTTAAGCGAAGACTCCTTGCCGGAACAACCAGTGCTGTGGGAGTTGTGGGTTCCACACCCGCAGACAGGTGAGCAGCTGTGTGTTCTCAGGTCTGACGACTCGGACGCGAGTGAAGCTTGTGCCCTTTGCAAGTCTGAGCCGGTTTACACTACCAACGTAGAGCTGTTGCTTGACGGGTTGCAAGAACCACTGCAGGTAGTCCACACAGTAGACCCTCGGGATGCAGAGCAATGCATCGAGAAGTGGATGCCGTCCATTCACAAAGAGATCGGTGTCATTGAGAAGGCTGTGCGGCGACTGCCCCCTGCAGAGGTCCGTTCGGGAGGTTGGCTTAGGCGTAAGGAAGTGAAGGTAGTTCCGTCTAAGTTTGTGTTTACAGTCAAGCCACCAGACCCTGCTGAAGCCTCCCTCGCTACCCGGAAGGGTCAGGCTTACCACAAGCGCAAGGCTCGCCTGGTTGCTTGTGGCAACCACGCCCCAGGCACGGGGTCCGAAGTCTACGCTTCAGGTGCTGCTGCAGAGACACTCCGTTGTTTTGTAATCATCAGCTCCAAGAGGAATTGGTGCATCGGGTCTCTAGATGTCACCTCAGCTTTTCTGTTGACCCCAATCCCGCAAGGCAGAGGTTTTCCAGTGTTTGCTCTCACGCCGCCTAGGTTGCTAGTGAGACTAGGTTTGGCAGAGGAAGGGGAGCTTTGGATCCTCACGCACGCTGTGTACGGGTTGAGGGAGTCGCCTAAGCTTTTGTCAGACTTCAGGGACTGCCAACTTCGGGCGCTGAGGTGTGTTGTTGACGGAGTTGAGCTGCAGCTCCAGCAAGGAAGGTTGGACCCAAACTGGTGGCGTGTTGTTCGCACCTCTGACGGGGTAGTCGTAGGAGGGTTGCTCACTTACGTTGACGACTTTTTGCTTGCAGGCAGTAAAGAGGTGATCGAAGCCTTGGCTACGGCCATCCAGGGCATCTGGAAAACGACGCCTCTCGCACTTGCCACCGCAGAGCACCCGCTGAGGTTTTTAGGGGTTGAAATCCTAGTGCAAGGTTCGGGTTTGTGTTGTCCCAGCAGGCTTACGCCGAAGAGCTGCTGCGTCTCAACGACGTGAAGCCCACTGCACTAGGTAAGGTCCCCTGTCCACGTGACCTTGTTTCGTTTGACACTCTCCTGACGGACGAGTCCCCAACCGAGGAGACCGTTCGAACAGCACAGAGGCTGACTGGAGAAATCCTGTGGCTAAGCCAACGCACTCGGCCTGACTTAGCATTCACTGCTTGTGTGCTTGCTTCTCTCAGCACGAAGGCGCCGCAACGAGCCATCCGCATTGCAGAGAAGGCCCTTGCGTATGTGCAGCGTACCAAGGCGCTGGCTCTCACCGCTGATGCGGATGACACAGGATTGATCGCGTATAGTGATGCCAGCTATGCGCCGGAAGGGAATCGTTCTCACACAGGGTGGGTGGTTTTCCTTCACGGGTCGCCGGTGTGCTGGCGTTCAGCACGACAGTCTTTTGTCACCCTCAGCACCGCAGAAGCCGAGCTTGTTGCTGGACTTGACGCTGTAGTTGCCCTTCAGTCAGCAGAGGCCATGCTGAGTGAGTTCGGCGTTTCTAGTTTCGACAAGACTTTGAGGGTTGACTCACAGTCTGCGCTGGCCATCGCTATTGGCCAAGGGTCTTGGCGAACCCGCCACCTAAGGGTGCGCGCCAACTACCTTCGAGAGCAGTATGAGTCTGGTGAGATCATCCCTGTCTACTGCCCAGGAGTTGAGCAGGCCGCAGATCTTCTGACGAAAGCACTGCCATCTGCGAGGATCCTTGAGCTCGCAGCCATCTGGGGTTTGCTTGAGCATGGCGTACCTCGCCGGGCGGAAGCTCAGGCCTACAGTGAAACTCAAGCTGTGGGCACTGGGACCGTGGCGCAGCAAGACCTGCAGCTGAGTGCCTTCGCTGTCCTGCTCGCCTTCTTTCAGGTCGTAGGTCGTAGGTGCTGCCAGCCAGACAACGGACGAGGAAGAAGACTTGTCTCTCCCCGTGTCGCTTGATGCAGATTTGATGTTGGCAGTATCCATCATCTGCATTGGTATATCTGCTTCATTGCAGTGTGGGAGTTCTTCAAGTGGTGCCTTCAAGGCATCATCTCCCGCCGAGAGGCAGGGACACCCGTGTTGTCTCCGAGCCCCCGCAAGGCGCGCAAGTTACAGCGCCTTCGAGATCAAACTGCGCAGGCCATCCAGGCCGAGATCTCTGCACGTGAGGAGGCAGCAAGCTCGCAGTCTGTTGCTGCAGCGCCCAGACGCCGCCCCTCACAAACAACTCGCACGCGTGAGCAGGCAGGTGGAGCACCAACGCGTTACTTTGCAACACCCGAAGGGACCAAGCTCCACCGCACTAAGACCTGTTCCACGCTCGCCCACAACCACAGGTTTGTTGAGTTTCAAGTGTGCCAGCAGTGCCACGGGAGCGCTGCAGACCACACCCAGCACAGCACAGGGTAGGAACTACTCCACCCTAACGGGTTGGATCTCTCAGTGCTCATCCGTAGCTGTGTCTTTTTCCCACACGAGGTGCCTTGAGAGTCCTCGCATAGTGAGGGCAGTTGGCCCAGCTTTTGCCAGGTAGTTCAGGGTAGGTGTGTCGTTATTTTGACGGGTTGGACCTGCAGTAGCAAGTAGGTCGCAACTCCCTGGCGGGGCTGCGAAGGAGGAGTGCTGAAGTGCATGCTTCCTGTGCAGCTCATGCCAGATGTACATGTGACGTGGTTTTCCTCTTCTTGCTCTTTAGGCCCGAACAGCACAGCCTTGAGCATGCTTTTAACATCTTTTAGCAGAACACATGCACCATAGTTGTAGGTGCCACGCCCAACGTAGCACTAACTTCTGTCTCTTGCTTGCGTGTAAAATCTCCGCCTCTGAGTGAGCCATGCAGGGTTCTGGGGAGTATGGGACAAGGGAATTAGCTACTCCACTTGTGTCTACCTCTCAACCTGCTGGTTCGCTCCAGCACTTATCGTTATTTTTTATTGGTTCTCCTGCTCCTTTGTGAACTCAAACGTTTTCGCACCCTTGCTCTCGCCGTACTTCACCTTCATGGCCTTGGTGGCATGGATGCTCCGTACCAGGGACGGAAGCTTCTCCACATCGCCCCAGTACTCCACACTGTTTGCCAGCGACAAACTGTGCAATCCCCCGCCGAATCGCCGAACTCTCGCGAAGGCCTCTTGGACTGCCTCCGAGCTCATCGCACTTGGGTCCGTGAGGAGGTACGAGGACCTGAGGTGCTCCTTCATGTAGCTCTTGTGGTCCTTATTCAGTACGTGCCACTCGTCCACGTACTTGTCGCAAAAGGGGCACTTCTGGTACAAAAAGCAGGAAGTGAGGACCTTGTCGGCCTCCTCAACCTGCTCGTCCGAGATCTCCGGCATCTTCATGCCCGGGCTCTCTTGAAACTCTCCAAAGAGCCTCTTGAAGAGGTCCTCCTTCTGGTTCTCCGCGAGCTGCTCCAGGAGAGCCTCCGTGAGGTTGCCGCTGCCCTTGCGGTACTGCTTCACCATCTTCAAAATCTCCTCGACGGGCAGCTGGTCTGCTTCTTCCTTCGAGATGATCCCCTTGTGGACCAAAGCTTTCTTGGCCTGTTTCGCCTCACGCAGAGGGCCTCTTCCATGTTCCGGCTTGCTGTTGGACCGCTTTGCGGTGCTCATGGTCTCGTTGTCGGACGGAGGGTCTGGCTCCTCCATCAGAACATCTTCCGGCACTTTCGTGCTCTCGGTGCGGGCATCGAGCCCCTCCAGGGCCGTCTTGTCCAACTTCTTCACACTCCCGCTGGCCGGCTCCATGGCGAGGAGCTACGAATTTAGATCTATATATAAAAGGTGCCCACACAAACAAAATCTACAATTAAAAACACATCTAAACTATAACAATAACATACATTCGCTAACCATCTTATAGATGCCTGCCCTAACTCGGTGTAACACCAAGAAAGGGACAGGCGGGCACAAAGAAAGTAAAGCTGCTTGCTACCACATGTCACATGTGTGTGAACCTGTCAAAATAACATAACATGCTTTCGCAACCCGTCCGACGGTTGCACACTAAAAAAAAGCTGCCGCTGCTTCGCGAAGCCACACACACAGGCACATGTGTGAACATGCTTTGGCATCCGGTCTTGTGAGCACACAAGCAACTCTGTCTCTCTCTCTCTCTCTCTCTCTCTCTCTCTCTCTCTCTCTCTCTCTCTCTCTCTCTCTCTCTCTCTCTCTCTCTCTCTCTCTCTCTCTCGGAGGTCCTGCCACGAAAAGACCGAGAATGTTTGCCAGGACCACGAGGAGCTCCGCAGATCTTCGGCTTGCCTGTCCTGCCACACAAAGATGAAAAGATCACCAAAACCGGGAGCACATTCACTGTTCGAGCAAGTCCTGCCACCACACCATAGCCGGCCATCCAGGGCGGTCACATCAAAGCACACTGTGCATCTATCAACGATACAGGATTGTGAACTTGTTCTGCTCGTCTCTCAATCACCCTATATAGATATATATATATATATGTATCGACAACCCGACATATATACATATATATATATACATATATATATATATATACATATCCTAAACCAGAAAAAACATCCATATTATATGTTCGTAATATAAGTGCAAAAAAGGAAGTCCTCTGCTGAGTGCGAGAGACCCACCCCTGCCCTGACTCGGTGTAACACCAAGAAAGGGACAGGGGCGGGCTTGAGCTGAGTGCGAGAGGGGCGGGCTTGAGCAGAGACACACGGCCCGGCAGCCCTAATTCTAATCATGAAAATCACAAGTGCCCGATGGCCTCCCCCGCGGTCTTTGCAAACACCGGTGTAAGTCTCACCTCCACTCGGCCAGGGTGGAACCGCCATGCCCGAGGGGTGTGCACCTTCCTTCAACAAGGTCACAGGAGTGTGCTTCCGGTTTTGCCGCCCCCGAAAGCCCGGACGGAAGCTTGTCTGCTTCCTCCTCCTTCATGACCCCCTTGAAAACGACCGGTTTCTTGCCATCCGGCTGTTTGGCCTCTAGCAGCTGACCTCCGTGAGCCGGTTACGGGAGGAGGTCCAGTGCTACCGACTGGATCTGCATCCAGACTTGCCGGTCGAGGAGTGGTGCAGGGACTTGCCCTCAAGCCGCAGCCCAGTGGCCCTGCAGTGATGTATGGCGGGGGGTAGGTGATACTGTTTCACGGACAATCATGCACAAGTCACACAAGCAAGAACGGATTTCAGGAGCTCCTGTGGTTTAGAGGATACATATATATATATATATATATCATAAAATGCATCCTGCCAAGTGCGAAAGACCTATATATATACTCGGTGTCACACCAAACGACAAAGGGGAACCCTATAGCCCTGCCCGATAACTCGCTCTCTCGCTCTCTGGCTCTCTCTTTCTCTTTTTCTTTTGTTTTTTCACCGAAACAAGACAAGCCATGCTCGCGGGCACTTCGGCTTGTGCTCGGCCTTCGGAGTCACAACTGTACATGTTGTCTCTGTCGGCAAATCTCGCTTTCGGAATCTATACGAATCTATCGTCACGTCGGCCTGCCCGGCATTCGGAATCCACTACTTTTTCGACACTTCGCACTTCCCAGTGCCTGGTTTTCAAAACACCTTTTCGGCACAGCTTGGCCCATTGAACAAAATAGGACAAAATTTACACGCCAGAATTTACACAAAAAAGTGTATTTTTTTACACCCCAATTTGGCGTATAAATCATTTATACCGCTTTTGGCGTGTAAATTTCCCGAACGTTTAAAATTACACGAAAAGGATCTTACAGGCAAGCCCAGCCGCCTGGTGCTCAGCAGCCTCAGTGAAGGGCACATGGTCAAAGGACGGGTCGATCATTTCCGCATCGCCAGAGACCCTCCGCACAACAACGAGCGGGCGCAGCCAATCTGGGGCATCGGCTAAGAGGTTGGAGGCGATACGCACTACCGCGATGAGCGCTGAATGCTGCTGTGCTGTCCAAAACACAGTTTGCTCCAACACAGCGTCCATGCAGACCAAGGCGCACCACAGGGAGAAAGTTTTGGAAGATCCCGCGCACCCCAAGATGCTAAGCGAGCTGCGTCCTTGTGCCCGGGCGGCCAGGATGGCCGATATGTGTCCACACAGGAGTCCATCCGGACTGTTGAGTAACTCGTCGATGTGGCGGCAAAATGTTTGTCCCATTAGGGCGGCCAAGGTGTGCAACTCCGCTGGGATCAATGTCGCAGGCAAGCGCCAGTGCCTGCAGAAAGGATCCCTAGGATTGCTGCGTTTAGCCACTGGATGAAGGGCAAGGATGCGCTTCTTGAGCGCTACAAACTCGGCCGGCTTGAGATTTGGGGCAGCTGGAAAGTGAGGGGCGCGGGCAGCCGACTCCACCGCTTGGAGGAACGACAACACAAGGTGCACCTCAGAAGCGAAATGGGACCGAGGCCTCGGCGCAGGCTGGGTGCATGGTCGGATGGGCATGCCAATGGCCAGGGGAACACGCGCCTCAGGCATTTTGAGCACTTGCAGAAATACATCTGGAGCCCCCCCTACTTTAATGCACGACAGACTGCAAAGGGAAAGATCCCAGCTGCAAACGTGATCAGGCTGCGGAGGGGCCCCAAGAAAAGAAGGCCACTGGCGGATGAGCAGGAGGGCAGCCGTGGGGTTAAGGCGGTTTTGGCGCCGCTCGACCTTGCGTTGCTCGCGGGTTTTTCCTTTGAGCCGGTCAGGGACTACCAGGTCTACAAAGACCGCCAGGAGTTGCCCTCGGCGAAACTCTAACCGCAGAAGACAACCCTCGGATGGCGGCCGGTTACCGCTTTGGCGATGCGAGAACCAGCCAGTGTTCTCCGATGGTGTAAAGCCATTATGACACGACAAGCCAAGCACGTATGTGCCAAAGCTGAGACAGTCCTCCACCTTCAGCACAACCGGTAGTGCCGGGGTGAAGCGTCGGGTGGTGTCCTGGTGCGACATCCGCCGGTTCTCCTGCCCGGTATCCTCGAGAGCAGCGCCCTGGCTGTAAACATGAAAGTGTAGGAAATCCACAACACGCTCGAGCGACAGCTCACCGAGAGACGTTTGCACCGGTGCAGGCAAGGGCAGGTTGACCGCCTTATCCTCTTCATAGCATCTAAGCCTGACTTCCTGAATGATCCAGGAGCGCAGTGCTGCAACACAGTGTGGCAGGGAGGCTGCTGTGACGGTGCGGGCTGCCTCGAGGAGGCGTTGCGGCAGGGAGTCCACGGTGCCCAGCCGCTTGAGCGACTCCTCGGTGACGCGGTGTGGGAAGAGGGCAGCCATAACCTTGCCAACCTCGCTATCTACGAGTCCCCGACTACGGTAAAAGTGCAGAGAATGGAAGGCCCACTCCAATTCTTTCTCCAGGCTGCGCGAGGGGAGGAAAGCACGGGCGGCGGTAACATCCACCTGGGCCGGCAGGGCGGGGCTAGTGCGCAGGAGCAGGTGGGAGTAGTTGTGGCACTGAGGCCCGAAAAGCTCTGTCGGTACATTGATCAACCAATGCATACCGCCTGCACGTATACCTGGGGCTGCCCGTATGGCGGCCCGCGCAAACTCGGTCGGCACCCAAGGGCACAAAAACTCC